CCCCAGGGGCCTAAAGCGACCGTCTCAGGGACCACTGCGAGGTTTCCAGTTGCCTGGACAACGAGACTCGGGTCAGAGCGACAGCCCTTCTAGCACCTGCTGCCGCCGCCGCCCGCCTTGGGCACCAGGTGACATGCCGGTGCTCTCCACACCATGGCCCTCGCGGGTGACCACGCTGAGGCGCACAGCTGTGGTCTTGGCGCTCACAGCCTATGGAGCCCACAAACTCTACCCTCTGGTGCGCCAGTGCATGGCCCCGGCCAGGGGTCCTCTGGGCCAGTCCGGGGAGCCTCCACGGGAGGCCCCTGAGCCCACTGACACCAAGGCGGGCATGAACAGGGCATTCCTGCGGCGGTTTCTGGTACTCCTGCGGCTGCTCTTCCCCCGGGTCCTGTGCCGGGAGACCGGGCTGCTGGCTCTGCACTCCGCGGCGCTGGTGAGCCGGACCTTCCTCTCTGTCTATGTGGCCCGCCTGGACGGCCGGCTGGCCCGCTGCATCGTGCGCAAGGACCCTCGCGCCTTCGGTTGGCAACTCCTGCAGTGGCTGCTCATAGCACTCCCTGCCACCTTCGTCAACAGCGCCATCCGCTACCTGGAGGGCCAGCTGGCCCTGTCCTTCCGCAGCCGTCTGGTGGCCCACGCCTACAGTCTCTACTTCTCCCAGCAGACCTACTACCGCGTGAGCAATATGGATGGGCGGCTTCGCAACCCCGACCAGTCTCTGACTGAGGACCTAGTGGCCTTCACCGCCTCCGTGGCCCACCTCTACTCCAACCTGACCAAGCCGCTGCTGGACGTGGCTGTGACCTCCTACACACTCATCAGGGCGGCACGCTCCCGCGGGGCTGGCACAGCCTGGCCCTCGGCCATTGCGGGCCTCGTGGTGTTCCTCACGGCCAACGTGCTGCGGGCCTTCTCACCCAAGTTTGGGGAGCTGGTGGCCGAGGAGGCGCGACGGAAGGGAGAGCTGCGCTACATGCACTCTCGAGTGGTGACTAACTCAGAGGAGATCGCCTTCTATGGGGGCCACAAGGTGGGGCAGGCCAGGGTCCCAGGAGGCCGAGGCTGAGGCCGGAGGGATTCTGGGGACGGCGGGAATGGAGAAGTGGCCCAGCTGGGGGGGGGACTGTCCCATGCTGGCTGCCCCAAGCTCCAGGTCACTTCTGCTTCTGTGCTCTGGCTTGCCCCACTTCTGCAGCCAGCCAGGAGCCAGGCTGGGGGCCCCAGCCTCTGCTGTGTCCCTTGGCCTTTGAAGGCCGGCATCCGGCACAGCTGGCCGGCTGGGCAGGCGGGCATTATAGACATGACTCAGCCCAAGCAGAGGTTAATGAGGCCCAGCCCGGGGGCCACGGTGGCAGCAGCACTCAGGGTCAAGGCCATCAGAGCCCTAGGCCTAACTGGCTGCCAACCAGCTGAGGTGCCCTGCCTCCCGGAGGTCCTGGGCCACAGCCGCCACTGCTGCAGGACACACTTCCTGCCCACCCTGCAGCTGCCCTGCCCCAGCGTGGCCGCCCTTCCGCCTGGGCTGTGCTCTCAGCCCGGGTTGGGGGTGGGCCGGGGCCTGAGCAGGCGCTGGGAAGGTTACTCGGGGTCACTGTGCCGCCTTTAGCCTTTATCTGGAGGCCGCTCTGCTCCACCTCTTCCTCATGCCTGGGGCCGCAGCTGCCTGGGGCTGTGCTCTCCACAACTCCAGTTTCAGTTCCCTGAATGCTGGGGGAGGGGCCGATGGTCTCTCGAAGGCTGGGAGCCTCTTGCCCGGTACCTTGTGTCCTGGAGGAGCAGGCTTGCCTGTCTGATTTTTAAAGCAAGGCTGATCCCTGAGCACAGAAAGGACATCTGGGGCAGAGCCAAGTTTCAGATTAGGGGGAAAAGTGTGGCCCTAGGCAGTGCCCCTCTGCCCTCTCTCTTTCCACCTAGGCTGCAGGGCTTGGCAGGTGGCTGTGGTCTCCGGTAAGACACTTGGCATGGTCCCCAAAGCTCCATCGCAGCCTTGGCTGCTGCTCCCATTATGAGCCCAGCTTCGCTCACAGGGGATGTGCTCGCTACAGGGGTAGGGGGGCCTGGGCCTGGGCAAAGCCCACTGTTCTCAGAAGCATTTCCTTGAGCCAGCTGCAGGAAATACGTTTGTCAAGAGAATTCACTTGCCAGGACACAGGGCCCAGGTACATCCTGGGGCCTGTCTGTGTGGCCTCCCTCGTGGGGTGACAGCCCCTGCCAGTGGCTGGATGACCCTCACGGTACGGGCAGGTGACCCACTGGCAGATATCCCCCTGGACACCAGCCTAGGCACAGATCAGTAAGTTAGGGCAGACAGTGGAATAGTCTCTTCCCTGTCGGCGTTCAGTGAGGCTGCTTATTTTTGTTTGTTTTTTGAGACAGAGTTTTGCGGTGTAGTCCAGGTTGGCCCCCAACTCTAGGCAACTCTCCTTCCTCAGCCTCCCTAGTGCTGGGATGACAGGTATGTGCCATCACGACTGGCCAGGCTGCTTATTGAAATTCACACATGCACGCAACCTCTTGCAGAGAACAAAGTAACCCTTTCTTAATCAGCCAAAGCATCCCTTTACAAGGATCCAGCCCTAACAACCCCGCCAGTGTGGCCAACATTCCTGTCGCCCTCACTACCTCCAGGCAGTGCAAGATTGGGCAGGTCACTGTCACTGGGCTTCAGTGTCCTCTGGAGGACAAGAAAGTGACAAGTGGTGGTGGGCTGGGCAGCTGACACTAGGCAGGTGGGGGGGGGCCCAGGCCCCACAGCCACCATTCCATGAGCACTACTCACACCTCTGGCCTCTCCTGCCTGTCTGACCGCTGCTGCCCCTCCTCCTTTCAGAGACACCTGTCCCCTTCTGGCATGGCAGGTGGCAGTGGGGCCAGGGGAGGCCTGACAGTGCAGAAGGGGTCTCCTGGCTTCCTCGGGAAAACACAATATGAGCTTCCCACAGACAGCAGCCCTGGGAAAAGCAGTGGGAGGTTGGGCCTGGGCAAGCAGAGCTGTAGACAGCGCCTTCTGCTCTCCTTGCTGCCCTTTTTATAGTGCAAGGTAGAGAAATCCAAGCCAAGGATCCACAGGGTGGGAGAGGCCTGGGAACAGGGGCAGGAGGAGCCTTCAAAGGATCCCCAAGACACAGGCTCAGCAGGGACAGAAAGATGACTGTCCTGAGCCTCCATCCAGAAGCTGTCAGGTTATAAAGAGGGGAGTAGTGAGCTGGGTGTGGTAGTGTGCCTCTCTCATCCCAGCAGTAAGGAGGCTGAGGCAGGAGGATTGCTGTGAGTTCAAGGCCAGCCTGGGCTACATAGTAAGTTCAAGGCCAGCAAGGCCCTGTCTCAAAAACAAGTAGCGGGGTGGTGATCATCCCCATTAGAGAGGTAGAGGGAACAAGGACAGGAGCCCCTCCCCAGCTGTAATCCACTCCATGCATGGCACAGTCCTGGTCGTCAGATTGCACGTCGGGCATGAGCAGCAAGTGTTGTCCTCCCTCGGGCAGGTGGAGCTGGCGCTGCTGCAGGACTGCTACCAGGCCCTGTCGGCGCAGATCAACGTCATCCTGCTGGAGCGCCTGTGGTACGTCATGCTGGAGCAGTTCCTCATGAAGTACGTGTGGAGTGCCTCGGGCCTGCTTATGGTGGCCGTCCCCATCATCACTGCTACTGGCTACTCAGAGTCAGGTAAGAGCACCCTTGACATCGCCAGAAGCAGCGTCCTGGGCCTTACCGGAAGCGGGCTCCCTGCCACCCTGGCCCTCTGGTCCCTGTTCTCTGTCTGATTGTAGCTTTGTCCTGGGAGGACATGGGGAGCCCTTCATGGCCTGGCCTTGCTTTTCTATCCTAAAGCCTTTGGTGGGAGGTGAGGCTGCTCCTATCCATTGTTTAGAGACAGTGGAGTTACCTTTGTTCCCATTTGTCCCTCCACTGGCTTGCGGCAGATTCAGTATTTCCAGTCTTTCCATGGTCACCCTTGCAAAGATCACCATGCATTCTTTTTTTCTTTAATATCAGAACATTTATTGGTACATTTTAGGCATACACAGTGCTAACACCCATCCTAGGGAATTTGCACCTATACACCGTACATCCCACATCTTTTTGCCCATGTCCCCCTCCCACCCCATCCCCTCCTTATGTACCAAAGGTTTGTTTCTATTTTTTCCTTCAATTCTTTCTTTTTTGTCCCTTCCTTCCTTTCTCCTTTCCCCCTTCCTTGTTCCCATTTCCATTTGAACATTTTCTTCCCATTTCCCAATATCTATTATACATTTCAGTCCCTACTTCCACTTTCAATTTCTCACAACAGAGAAACAATGCGATATTTAAACATACGTGTCCTATGGATTTCACCTAAGAGTATGGTCTCAAGGTCATCCATTTAGCTAAAAATGTCTGAAGCTCACCCTTCTTTATGGCTGAGTAATACTCCATTATATAGAAAAACCATACTTTCTTTATCCATTTATCAGTTGATGGGCAATTGGGCTATTTCCAAGTTTTAGCTATTATAAACTGTGCCGCTGTAAGCATGGATGTGCATATATCACTGAGATATGATTCTTTTAATTCTTTTGGAAAGATATACAGCAGAAGGATGGCTGGGTCAAACGGAACCTCCAGTCCAAGCTCTTTGAGGTATCTCCATATTGATTTCCACAGTGGTTGCACCAGTCTGCACTCCCACCAACAATGGAGAAGGGTTCCTTTCTCCCCACAACCCCGCCAACATTTGTTATTGTGTGACTTCTTGATAGCAGCCATTCTTTGTGGGGTGAGGTGGAATCTCAGTGCTGTTTTCATCTGCATCTCTCGAATGACCAGTGATGTGGAACATTTTTTCATATATTTACTTGATGCTTTTACTTCTTTGTCTGAGAAATGTCTGTTCGTTTCAGATGCCCATTTTTCGATTGGGTCTTTAAATGTGGGAGGTCTGATTTTTTTTTAGTTCTTTGTATATTCTAGATAGTACGCCTTTGATGAATAGCTGGTAAAATATTTTTTCCACGCTGTGGGTTGTTTCTTCACTCGGTTGGTGATTTCTCTTGCTATAAAAAAGCTTTTTAATAAGATGAGGTCCCAGTTGTTGGTTCTTTGTGGTATTTCTTGTGTGGTCTGTGTTTTGCTCATGAAGTCTTTGCCTACTCCTATGTCCTCAAGTGTTCTACCTTTTCTCTCCTCCAGCAGATTTAGTACTTCTGTTTTAGTATTTAGATCTTTGATCCATTTCAATTTTAGATTAGCGCATGGTGAAAGATACGGGTCTAGTTTTAATCTTTGGCAAGTGGAAAGCCAGATTTCCAGCACCATTTCTTTGTTTGTTTGTTTGTTTGTTTGTTTGTTTGTTTTTTGGTACCGGGGATTGAACTTGGGTCCTTGCGCTTGCAAGGCAGGCCACTGAACCACTGAGCTAAATCCCCGGCCTCCAGCACCATTTGTGTGTGTGTGTGTGTGTGTGTGTTACAGGGGGTTGAACTCCGGACCTTGTGCTTGCCAGGCAGGCGCAGTGCCACTGAGCTACTTTCCCGACCCATCAGCACTATTTATTAAGGAGGCTATCTTTCTTCCAATGAAGGTGTTTAGCTCCTTTGTCAAAGATCTTTTAGTCTGTTCCATTGATCCTCAGGTCTGTTCTTGTGCCAATACTGTGCTGTTTTTATCGCAGTAGCTTTGTAGTATAGTTTCAGGTCAGGGAGTGTGATGCCCCCTGCCTTGCCTTTGTTGCCCAGAATTGCCTTTGCTGTTATTTACTTTTCTTTCCACTGGTACCTGGGATCGAATTCAGGACCTTGTGCTTGCCAGGGAGGTGCGATGCCACTGAGCTACATCCCTGGCCCTGCCTTTGCTATTCTAGGTCTCTACTGGTTCCAAGAGAATTTTAGGATTGTTTTCTCTAATTTTGTGAGATATGCTGTTGGAATTTTGATGGGGACTGCGTTAAATTTGTATAACAATTTTGAAAGTATGGCCATTTTCACTATGTTGATTCTTCCTACCCAAGAGCAAAAGATGTCTTTCCATTTTCTTCTATCCTCTTTGATCTCTTCTTTCAGAGTGCTGTAGTTCTCCATGTAGAGGTCTTTTACTTCCTTCGTTAGACTGACTCCTAGGTACTTCATTTTTTTGGATGCTATTGTGAAAGGGATTGTTTCTCTAATTTCTCTCTCAGCGAGTCTGTTACTCAGGTACAGGAAGGCTACTGATTTCTGAGTGTTAACTTTGTATCCAGCTATTCCACTGAATTTGGTTATCAAATCTAGAAGTCTTTTTCAGCAGGCATTTTTAAAGACCAATAGCTCCCCTCCTCCTGGGCCTTGTTAATGCATGTCTTTTGGGCCAACATGAAGGTGGTTTTCACATGGGTTTTATGTTATTTTATTTATTTATTTTTGAAGTACTAGGGATTGAATCCCAGACCATTGTGCTGTGCTATATTCCCCAGCTCTATTTATTTGCTTATTTTTTTTTTTTATCTTTTTGAGACAGGGTCTTGCCTAAGTCACTAAATTGCCCAGGCTGGGCTCGAACTTGTGATCCTCCTACCTCAGCCTCCCAGAGTGCTGGGCTTCCAGGCTTGTGCACCACAACCAGCCAGCTAGCTAGCTAGCTAGCTAGCTATCTATCTATCTATCTATCTATCTGCAGCCCACCCGCCTGAGCCTCCCAGAGTGTTGGAATAATAGGCATGTACCTCCACATCTGGCTTGCATGGTTTTATTTTTCCTTTGAAACGGGGTCTTGCTATGGAGTCCAGGCTGGCCTTGAACTTGTGGGGATCCTCCTGCCTCAGCCTCCCAAGTGTTGGGATGACAGGTGTATGCCACCACACTCAGCTTCATCTGATTTTTATCCTTGGGTATTGCTTTAATCCAGTGGCTGAGTGTGTAAACTCAGCTGTGTGTGTGTATGGTTTCACCTTACACCCAGGCCTCTCTGTGTCCTGTTTTCTTCTTCAGGGGTTTTGTCATGGGACACTCTCAATTATTTTGTTGTTGGAAAATGTCATTGTCTTACCTTGGTTCCTGAGCTAAAGTGAGGTTGAGAGTCTGGCATGTGGTGCCCACCTGTGATCTCAGCACTTGGGAGGCTGAGGCAGGAGGATCCATGCAAGTTTGAGGCCAGCCTGGACTATGTAGTGAATTCATGGCCAACTACATAGTGAGACCCTGTCTCGAGGGGAGGGGGAATTGGGGGTAGGAGGAAGGAGAAGTTAGGCTGGAAGAGGACCGTAGTTGGATGGCTACTTTCTGTCAGCTCTGTGACAGTACCACATTGTCTAGTGGCTCCCCCTGTAGCTGTGGTTCTTCGCCTTGGCACCTTTCCCATCTGCTTTCTTGGCAGCCCACAGCTTCGCTGCAGTGTTAAACTGTGTTTCTGTACGCCCTGCTGAGACTTGTGAGCCCTTCCAGCTCTCCACCGAGGGGCATTACTGTCCTTCCCACTCACTCTGCCATTTGCCAATATTCGGCCACATCAGATTTGATTCTGTTGTTTTGTTTTTTGAGACAGGGTCTCACTATGTAGTCCAGGCCTGACTTGAACTCCATATGGAGTCCAGGCTGGCCTGGAACGCATAGCGGTCCTCCTGCCTCAACCTTCCGAGGGCTGGGATTACAGGTGTGCACTACCACACCTAGCCCTTTATTTGCTGTATTTATTCTTACTTTGTATTTTGAGACAGAGTGTTGCTCAGTTGCTGGCCTCAAATTTGCTGTGATCCTCCTGGCTCAGCCTCCTGAGTGCTGGGATAACAGGCAAGTGCAACCACGCCCAGCTTGAATCAGTGTAACAGTGATTAGCTGACCATAAAATTCAGCCTCTTAAAATGTACAAGTCAGTGGTTTTTAGTATATTCAGAGTTGGGCATTCATCATCACTATCATTTTTTTCTTTCTTTCTTTTTTCTTTTTCTTTTGTGCTGAGAATTAAACCCAGAGACTTGTGAAGATGCCCAGGCTAGCCTCAAACTTGGGATCCTCCTGCCTCAGCTTCCCAAGTTGCTGGGATTATAGACAAGCACCACCACATGGGGCCATCACCTTTATCTTAATCTGTAACATTTTTACACCCCATAAAGAAACTACAGAGCCATTGTGAGTCACTTCCCCAGTCCCCCTTTGCCTGGCCCTGGCAGTCACTAACATACTTCCTGTCTCTGGGTTTGTGTCTTGAGGACATCTCAGAGGAATGGAACCCTGCTGTGTGCCCCTTTGTGCTCAGCTTCTTTCCAGGGGCCCATGCTGGCAGGTGAGTCAGGAAGCCCTTGCTTTTCTGTCCTGCCACACACATTGCCTGCCACTTTGCTGTCCCCACTGCCTTTACCCATCCATCCATGCATCCATTTGTCCATCCCTGGTCTTTGTGTGTCCATCCATCCATCTCCGACCTTTATCATCCATCCACCTACCCGTCCGTCTCCAGTCTTTGTCCACCCGTCCGTCCACCCACCCATCTGAGCATATGGCGGCTGTTGGCCCTGTGGGCTGTGGTGGACAGTGCTGCTGGAGGTTGGGCAAGGTTTCTCCTGGGCCTGCAGCTAGGAGGGAATTCTAGGCTTGTGTTGCTCTGTGTTGGCCTTGTGAGGAGCCGCCAGGCTGTTTTCCAAGCAGCTGCGCCCTTTTATCCCCACAGCCGCAGCTGTGAGTCTCCTGCTCCCTGTGGGCTGAGGAATTGATTTGCATTTCCTGAGTGACTGATGATGTTCAACATCTGCTCATGAGTTTATTGGCCATTTGGTTTTTGTTGTTCTTGTTTTTAATTTTTTTAAGACGGGATCCCGCTGTTTAGCCCAGGCTGGCCTGTGGTGGTGATCCTCCTGCCTCAGCCTCCCAAGGGCTGGCCCGGCAGGTGTGCTCTACCACGCCCAGTTGTGTCTCTTCTTTGTCAAGGATCTGTTCTTACTGTTTACCATGGCTGGCCTGGGGTGCACATCTCTCATCAAGTTGGGAAGCCCTTTATGGATTCTAGCTACTACTCGTCCACCCTACCAACTGTGTGATTTATGGCTCTTTTCTCACAGTCTCCCTTGGGATGTCTTTTGGGACCCAAAAGTGTTGATGCTCGATGAAGTGTGATTCATCTGGTTTTCTTTAAGACTTCCCAGTGCTGTTACCATATCACAGGTCCTAGAGCTTAGCCCTTTTTTCTTCTAAGACTTCTAGTTTTACCTCTTACACATAGACCTGGAAGCCCTTCGGGGTTCATTTTTGTGAGTGATGTTTTCACCAGATTGGATTTGAGGAGGTTCACCAAAGAGGACAGGAGACCTCACCTCGCCCCTGGTGGGTTCTTGCCTCCTCACAGAAAAGACTTGCAGGACTTGCCAGGCATGGTGATGCACGCCTGTCATTCCAGAACCTGGGAGGCTGAGGCAGGAGGGTCACCAGGAGTTCCAGGCCAGCCTGGGCTACACAGCGGGATTCTGTCTCAAAAAAATAAAAAAAAAGAAAGAAAGAAAGAAAGAAAGAAAGAAGCCCATGCTGCGAAAGGAGCCAGACACTCAGAGGCGAGGTGCATTATGGCCAGCACGGGAGATGTGTGTGGTCTTGGGACACCTCGAGATGGGTGTGTAGGTGTGTGTGTGTTACTGTGGTGTGACGTCTTTAACTCTGGGGAAGACACCTGGGAAAAGGACAACTGGGCCAAATGGAATTTGGACTTTTAGTTTTTAGAGGACTCTCCATCCTGATTTCCATAGTGGCTGTACTACATACACTCTCACCAACAACGGAGATGGGTTCCTTCTTCCCTACAACCTTGTGAGCACTTGTTGTTTTGTTTTGTTTACATTTGTTGTCTTTTGTGGGGTTTTGTGTATGTGTTTTTTTTGAGACAGGGTCTCGCTATGTAGTCCAGCCTGGCCTTGAACTCATGGCAGTCCTCCTGCCTCAGCCTCCCGAGTGCTAGGAGGACAAGCGTACAGATTTTGTGACTGGGCCAAGATGAGGGTTGCCTCCCCTTGGTGGCTGAAGATGTGGCTCCTGTGACCTCCCATGTCCCTGTGCAGACTCGGAGGCTGCGAAGAGGGCTGCCTTGGCGATGCGGGAAGAGGAGCTGGTGAGCGAGCGCACCGAGGCCTTCACCGTTGCACGCAACCTGCTCACGGCCGCAGCTGACGCCACAGAGCGCATCATGTCATCCTACAAGGAGGTGACAGAGCTGGCTGGCTACACAGCGCGTGTGCATGACATGTTCCAGGTGTTCGAAGACGTCCAGCACTGTCGCTTCAAGCGGCCAGGGGAGCCGGAGGACGCCCAGGCGGGGACGGGGGCCATGGTGCGCTCTGGCATGCGCGTGGAGGGGCCCCTGCGCATCCAAGGTAGGTACTTCTGCCTGTGCCCAGCCCGATCACAGAGGGAAGGCCAGCCAGCTGCTGCTACATGGGAGTCAGCGGAATGTGGCAGGTGGGTTTGGCATGGGAGCTACCTTTTGTTTTTGTGTTTATTTTTTTGAGACAGGATATCGCTATATAGTTCAGGCTAGCCTTGAACTCATGGAAGTCCTCCTGCCTCAGCCTCCTGAGTGCTGGAACTACAGACATGTGCCAGAATGTCCGGCTGCCTTTTGTTTTTATTTGGTTTGGCTTTTGTTTTTTGAGACGGGTTCTCACTGTGGTAGTTCAGGCTGGCCTCAATAAAATTCACAGCAATCCTCCTGCTTCAGCCTCCTGAGGGCTGGGATGACAGGCTTTGTATCACCATACCCAGCTGAGAGTTGCCTTTAAGATGGGCTGCTGAAGGGCCCCAGGTTTAGCTCAGTGATTCCGCTGCCTCCCTCTCAATTGCAAGGTCCTGAGTTTGATCCCGGTACCAAAAACAAAAAACTAAAAAAAAAAGGAATAGCTTGTTACTTTAGCTGGACATGGTGGCACATGCCTGTAATCCCGGCACTCGGGAAGCTGAGGCAGGAGGATCACTGTGAGTTCGAAACCAGCCTGAGCTACATAGTGGATTCCAGGTCAGTCTCAAAAAACACCAAAAAAAAAAGAAGGGCTGCCAGGCGTGGTGGTGCACGCCCGTAATCCCAGCACTTGGGAGGCTGAGGCAGGAGGATCGCTGTGAGTTCGAGACCAGCCTGGGCTACATAGTGAGTTCCAGGTCAGTTTCAACTACATAGTGAGACCCTGTCTCAAAAAAAAAAAATCAAGAAAAAGAAAGGCTGCTGAGCAATAGACTTGGGGCTCAGGTATCAGAGGACAAGCAGAGCTGAGCCCAAGGCCCAGCACTGGACCCTGGGCTTGGCTACTGGAGGCTGGGCTGTTTCCCAGGGCTCAGGGGTCCATGGGTGCTGCCCCTCACCCCTCCTTGCCTTCCCCTGCAGGCCAGGTGGTGGACGTGGAGCAGGACATCATCTGCGAGAACATCCCCATCATCACACCCACAGGAGAGGTGGTGGTGTCCAGCCTCAACATCCGGGTAGGCAGGGCAGGGTGGGCCGAAGACACCTGCCTCTTCAAGCCTTATCCTTGGCTTCCTGCCCGGCCCTGCATGGCACATGGGACAGCATGTCCCCAGCGGTGCATGCTGGGCTCGTGATTGCCAGGACCAGCCAAAGGTTACCCAAGTTTGTTGGTCTGATTGCTGCCGGCTCCCCACCCTCCTGGGGCTCTGGTGTCCAACCCAGGAAGCCTGGCACAAGGTCTGTGGTGGATGCAGAGCTGTCCCTGGGAGCATTCCTATCCCTGCGGGCACAAGGAGAAGTGTCCCTGGGTGCTCCCCAGCCAGGCCTGCGATGGGACCGAGCACCAGAGAAGGAGAAAGACGCACTGCAGCTGGGTACTAAGAAATGCAGGTGGAACATCCGGGCTACAGGAGAGTAGGTCAGAGGCTTGGAGAGGAAGCCAGTCAGTGCTGTGCTGGTCACACAGCAGACAGGCTTGAGCACAAGGTGTGTCAGTGCAGAGTGGACCCAGCGTACCTGCAGTTTGGAAAAGCAGTTTTGTAGAAAATAAGTTTGTTTTTGTTTTTGGTGTTTTGGTTTTCATTTTGAGACAGGGTCCTCACTCTGTGAAGTTCAGACTGGCCTTGAGCTCACTATGGAGCCCAGGCAGTGTTGGCTGCACTTGCAGTGATCCTCCTGCTTCAGCCTCCGAAGTACTGAGGTGACAGATAGGCGTACGCCACCTCATCCCATATCCTTTGAGCTCTGGGCTGGGTACTGGAACCCAGAGATAAAGCCGGGACTGTGCCCTCGGTGAGTCCCCACATGGGAGGCACCAAGGGTCCCCAGTGAGAGCCTTCTGAGAAGGCTCCACAGCCCAGCAGGAGGGGAAGAAGGTGTGGGGTGTGATCCACGTGTCCCTGGAGGTAGGGCGCCGAGGCCCTGTGCAGTGGGGAACAGGTGGGAGTGGCAGGAGAGGGGGGCTGGGGCCCACGCGGTCCTGCGGCTCTGACCCAGGTAGGAAGTCCACCCCGTGGTGTGGGTAGGAAGGGCTCTTCCCTGGGGCCCCAGTCTGGTGACCCATGGCATCTGTGGTATGGCTGCACCTCCATCCTTGTGTTTCGTTCTCCCTCGGGGTGCAAAGCCCTTCCCTCACTTTGTTGTTCCCTTGCAGCGCTGGGGTTGAACCCAGGTGTTCGCACTGAGCTCCATCCCCAGCCCTTTTTAGTTTTATATTAAGACAGGGTTCCACTAAGTCATGAAGTTGCCCGGGATTGGCTGGAATTTAAGGTCTTTCTGCCTCAGCCTCCCATAGTGCCGGGATGATAGATCTGCACCACTGTGCCCAGCAAAAGCTTTTCTTTTTCTAGGGACAGTGGTCATGTTGCATGGGGCGGGCTGTGCCAGTATCACTTTGACTTCTTTTAACTAGTTAAATCTCCAGTGATCCTGTTTCCAAATAGGGTCATACCCCGAGCCACTGGGGCTTAAGACTCCAGTGTATGAACTTGGGGAATACAGTCCAACCCATGGCCCTGCCCTAGGTGAACTAAGGCCCTTGTCAGGAGCCCCGTGCCTGGTGGCTTCCACAGATAAAGAAGGAAAGGACGAAGGGCACCGGCACTGGCAGCACTAGGGCAACCTCTGCCCCAGGATGCCTGGGCACAGGTGCCGAACGGAACCTGGCAGAGAGGACAGCGCCTGGCGTCCCATGGGGACCATGTTGTGCCGGGACTCCCAGTGGAGTGGGAGGCGAGCAGACTGGGAGCGCACGGCCTGTCTTGGGACACACCCATCCCTCCCTCCTGTGCCTGCCCTGTGCTCCCTGCACATGTCAGGCTGTAAGGTGAGAGCCAGGTTGAACCTATTTGCCTGGGCCAGGCAAGCAGTTGAGACTCTGAACACAGGACCCTTTCCCTGTGGCCAAAAGATCCAAGCTGGGCGTGGTGGTGCAGCACTCAGGTGGCTGAGGCAGGAGGTCGATAGGAATCCCAGGCTAGTTCAATGCCAGCCTGGACTGCACAGTGAGAAACAACACCTGGGCTTGGTGCTGCCCTTCCGCAGGTAGAAGAGGGCATGCACCTGCTCATTACGGGCCCCAACGGCTGCGGCAAGAGCTCGCTCTTCCGGATCCTGGGCGGGCTGTGGCCCACGTACGGCGGCGTCCTCTACAAGCCCCCACCACAGCGCATGTTCTACATCCCGCAAAGGTGGGGCGCACTTGCTTGTGTCGCGTGTGGGTGTCCACCACTCGGGAGGCTTCAGGTGACAGTCCCCGCCTGCCCCCATAGGCCCTACATGTCCGTGGGCTCGCTGAGAGACCAGGTCATCTACCCAGACTCGGTGGAGGACATGCGCCGCAAGGGCTGTTCGGAGCAGCAGCTGGAGAACATCCTGGGCATCGTGCACCTGCTCCACATCCTACAGCGGGAGGGAGGTGTGTGCTCGGGGCCAGGCAGAGAGGCGACGGGCTGGCGGGGTGTGATGCTATCTGTCCGGCCCCAGCACCCACTGTGCTGGGAAGGGAGGGCCAGGGATGGTGCTTTGGGGACAGGTAGTGCTGTTTCTCAGGGAAACGTGGATGCCAGGCCTCTGCTTCCTGCTGCTCTTGCTGGAGACAAGATGGCCTCAGGCAGAGCCCTTCCTCCACCTCCCGCCACTTACAGAAGGACCAGACCAGGTCCTGTCCCCGAGCTCCACTCCCAGGGTGGCCCGGGCGGCTGCTCGAGGTGAGGCAGGAGCAGGAGCAGGTCTGTCACCTGCCTGTGGCCTGGTCTTCTGTCTCTGCTCCTGTGACATCCCCCCTGTGCCCACCTCTTCCCGCCCTGTGGCTGCTATTGTACCTGTTAGGACCAAGTTCAGCTGAGAAGAAAGGGTGGGGTAAAGTGTGCTCACCTTTCTGTCTCTGGGTTTTGTTTTGCTGTTTTTTGTTTGGTTCTTTGGTTTGGTTTGGTTTGCTACGGGGGCTCAAACTCAGGACATCGCGCTTGCGAGGCGGGGGAGGGGGGACCACTGAGCTAAATCCCCGGCCCTGTTTGTTTTGAGACAGGGTCTTGCTTTGTAATGTGGGCTGGCCTTGAACTTGCTATGTAGCCCAGGCTGGCCTCAAACTCATGGCGATCTTCCTGCCTCAGCCTCCCAAATGCTGAGATTATAGGCGTGTACCACCATGCCTGGCTTCATTTGTTTTTTGTTTTTTTGTTTTTTGGTTTTTTGTTTTTTTTTTTTTTTTTTTTTTTTTTGTAGTGGTCCTTTTTGTTTCAGCAACAGGGTCTCTGTGTAGTCCAGGCTGGCCTCAAACTCATGGCGATCTTCCTGCCTCAGCCTCTTTTAAGTGCTGGGGTTACAGGTGTGCGCCACCACACCCAATTCTAACTCCTTTTCAGTTATTAAAGTACCACAGACAGACAGACAGAAGGGACACAGCAGAAGTAGGCCCCTGGACAAGGTCGTTCGGGGTCAGGCGTACCCCGTCCCCAGCTCCTGGGGGTACCCTGCACACATGCACACGCACCCAGGCCCCTGTGAGCTGAGCTGAGTCCCCACCCTGCACAGGCTGGGAGGCCCTGTGTGACTGGAAGGATGTGCTGTCAGGGGGCGAGAAGCAGCGGGTCGGCATGGCTCGCATGTTCTACCACAGGTGAGACCCGGCACGGCCCTAAGGTGGGAGGCGGGAGGTGGGAGGCGCCCACCCACAGCCTGTCCGCTGCCACACCCCAAGGCCAAAGTACGCCTTGCTGGACGAGTGCACCAGCGCCGTGAGCATCGACGTGGAGGGCAAGATCTTCCAGGCGGCCAAGGACGCGGGCATCGCGCTGCTGTCCATCACCCACCGGCCCTCCCTGTGGTAGGCGCCTGGGTAGGGCTAGCCCTGGGCTGGGGGTGGCCCAAGCAGGGAGGGTCGCCGCAGCCAAGGTTCTCTCGTCCCCACAGGAAGTATCACACGCACCTGCTGCAGTTCGACGGCCAGGGCGGCTGGAAGTTTGAGAAGCTGGACTCGGCGGCCAGGTTGAGCCTCACAGAGGAGCGGCAGAGGCTGGAGCAGCAGCTGGACGGCGTCCCCAAGATGCAGCAGCGCCTGCAGGAGCTGCGCCACATCCTCGGCGAGGCCTCCGGCCCTGGGGTCCCCACCTGAGCCCCCACCATGCCCTGCCCCGAATGCCTCCCTTCCCAGAAGAGCCAGGGACAGTGCTGTGCCACTGAGCCAGGGGATGGAGCAGGACCCCCAGCCCTCTCTCCTGAGACTCAAGTCCCCACTTCCACACTGCTGTCGCCACTCCTTCCTGCCATAGAAGCAGCCAAATGGCCCAGGATTAAAGAGAGCCCCGTGCCAGTGTCCTCTCGGCTGCCAGGAGTCCCCAAGAGCCCCCTGGAATGGGGAAAGAGCCACAAGAAGGCAGCCCTGGCCTTCTGTCCTCTTCCACCTAATTTATTGGCTTCCCTGTTTGTGGCTGCCTCCATTCCCAGCAGGGGAGGCAGCCAGGCTCAGTCCCTCCCGGAAGCCACCAATACCACCTCCTCCCGCCAGTCTACACTGCCAGCTGCCACTGGGGGGCGCGCACTGCCCATCCACTGGGAGCCAGGGCTCCGTGTTCCCAGCTCAGTGCCAAAGAGGGGTTCCAGGGGACGCTGCGCCGCCAGAGGGAGACCCCACCTCCAAGTGTGCCTTTCCCCGCTGGGCCCCCAGGCGGGGCGCCCTCCGCTCCCTCAGTAAAGCTGCCGTGGAAAACACACTCCTGCCTCCCTCCCTGGGGTGGGGGAGCCGGCCCGCACACCATTCTCCCGGGACACGCCGCTGCTGGGCTGGCTACAGGGCAGTGGGGAAGGGGAACCACATCCCAAATATGAGGGGGCTGCGGCCCAGTCCCTGCAGGAGGAACCTGCAAAACCGTTTGTGGTGATGCACACCTGTCATCCCTGCACTCAGGAGGCTGAACCAGGAGGATCGCCATGAGTTCAAGCCCAACCTGGGCTCTATACTGAGACTCTTTTGCAAAAAAAAAAAAAAAAAAAAAAAAAAAAAA